AGTATATATAGTACTACTACTACTATATATACTACTACTACTTACTACTACTATATATATATATATATATATATATATATATATATATATATATATATATATATATAAAGAGAGAGAGAGGATTTCATATTAAAAACTATACATTCTTCTCAATGGTGACGATACTTCAAGTATTCCCCAATCGAAAATTCTGTATTAAAAAAAACAGTTTCAGATGAAGAAAGTGTGCACCATTAACATTTGTAATATTAGAGACTGCAACCAATTGTAGGTTCATGAGCTCAAGCAGCAAAAGTATGTACAACATTTTGTTTTCACGGCCCCTCACACAAACTAAGTAATGACTGGTAGGCAATAAGCTCAATACTAGTCCACACACAAAATGACTCTCTTATCAAAATTGACTACGTATCTTTCTTTAGTTGGCAGCTTCTCATTATATGAGCACTGACCAGTTTACGCTCCTTTGTACCACAAAAAGATAAACCTGAGATGCCAATCGGCTATCACATTGCACATGTTTACTCCATACTGATACTATCTCACAAAGAAAGAAAGAAACTACCTCTACCATCCCATAACCAGATCCTTGATTCCACTAAACAGATTCTTCCAAAGAATTGTACAAAAACAATTGTTAACAAGAAAATCATAACTAAGGGCAAAACAGTAGAATCAGTGTAAGTTAAACTTTCCTAACCAAGTCTGCACAAAGCTCGAAGTCGATGAAGTATAGTTTTTTTAATATATCCAGATAAAGCCATCAGCATGGTTTGAAATGCATCAAAACATAGGCATTAATTAATCACCACGACCCAATTATAGCCAATCTTAGAAATTATTGAGAATCCTTCTAGTGGAAACGGTGCATGATTTCTATTCCATTTATTTTGATGAAAATTTTGGGAATCCTTCAAGGGGACCAGTTCACAATTTGCAATCCTTTAATGAAACTAGTAACATTTACATGCTTCGCAGGTCCCATTAAAAGGCTATACACAGTGATGCAAAATTTGCTCATGCGATCCAGGGGGCCAACTGCACCAAATAGGGCCTGGGAAGGGCCCTATTCGGTTGTCTCTGGGCATCCGCCTAGGCAGCCCTGGGATACACCTTGGCCGAGGGTGGAAAAAGGACCTCGGCTAAGGGTAAAAAAATGTCATTCTCTTACTCTTCCCCCCTCCCCTACCGACCACCCACCCAAAAAAGGAGGGGCGGCATTTGAGCCCCTCCAAACTTTGTTTGTATTGATTTGGAACTTGAAAAAACCCCAAAAAACATGAACTTGTGTTCTTTTTAAAGATAAAACGAAAAATTCAAATTTTTTGACTTCTTTTAAAATTGAAAATATTAAGACAAATATTGTATGCCACTATGGAGTTATGGATTGGGGAGTTGGAGACCAATACACTATAGACTCGTTTATGTTTTTCACTACGTTTTCAACGATTTGAAATTCTGAACATGTTTCAACATTCATGTGTAAAAAAAGTTAGTTATAATACATATAAATGCAAAAGAATTACAAAATTAACACAAATAACAGCATATATGTGCATTTGGACAGCACAGATATGCATATTTTTTAAAACATTTCACCTCAGAGCACCTGAGGTTCTGAGTGCCTGCCTAGGCACTCGGTCCTAAGCGCTAGGCCGGCCACCTAGGGCCACCTAGCATTCTCTAAAACATTATTGTCTTTCTTTACACTTCACGATTGACTAATTCATGATCATTGAATTGCAATCACTATAGAAGATAGACAAAAAAGACAAAACTTGAAATCAATTACATATTAAGAGGACAAAACTAGGCAAAGAATCAGACAATAATGGTAATTATATAGTACTAACTATATTTGCTGATGTAATTAATATTCTTTTTGCAATTTGCCAATATAAATGGTTTATGGCAGATTTTAAACAACGCCTAAAAAAATCATATAGCAAATTAACATACAGAGGATATTATTATATTCATATTTAATACGTGAAATAGATGGATAAAATAGATAGATAGACATAAGTTACAAATTAATTTACTACTATGTCATGATAGTTACATAGTTATAATTACATCTATTACTAATATATTTAGAGTGTTTTGCCAATTTAAATTATTGTGTTATATATTTCTTTATGATTCTAATTATTTTCATAATAATCATAATATCAATTACAATATTACCCTTATGTTATTACTATTATTATTGATAATATTCATATAGGTTACAATATTTTAATTAACTAATAAGTGCAAATAATAGATTATTTATAGTCAACATAATTTTTTATAATAGTTAGATAAGATATGGGAACTTATGGTTTTACGTAGGGTATGGCCCTTGATAGAGCTAAATGGCATAACAGGATTCATGCAGCCGATCCTAAATAGTTAGGATAAGGCTCTGATGATGATGATGATGATTTTTTTAATAGTTTTAGTTGCAATTGTGAATAATGAATATAATTACAATAATGTTATCATCTATATACAAATTTCTACAATTGTCACTACATTAAAATGTTTTATTGAAGCATCCAAGAGTATATTTTGGTGAGTGCAACAATTGTCACTACATTAAAATGTTTTATTGAAGCATCCAAGAGTATATTTTGGTGAGTGGAAAAAATAGCATACAAATATCATTATAATTATTAAATACTATATAAAACATAGCTTATTGTATTGCACTTATTTATAATTAATATTCATATATGGATATAATTATACTAGTAATTAATTATATTTTTTTGAAGTAGAAGAATTAATTATAATTATTATCACCATTATATTAAGCATAATCATGTTATATATTTATTATATTATACATATATGGCCAGAAATAATATGACAATTAATATCATATTATTGTATAAATAATAAGATTTACTATATTCTTTGGTTATTACAAATTACGAAAAATATTATATGATAAGATTATACAATATCTACCGTCACAATGATTTGTTAAAGAAATATATTTTAACTCTTAGAGTGCAATGACCGTGTATGATGCTCTAATAACTTATTCGTGTAGGAGCCATTGACAACTTAATGTGTGGATGTTCTAAGTTATAGGAAGGACAGAAACAAATACTCTGAATATTGATGATGTAGTTCAAAATTTAAATACCATAGGATTATGGAATTTTAAGTTTTAGAAGACAAGGATGAGGTTTGATGAAATAGAGACTTGCACCAATGAAGAACCAAAACCAATACTCCAAAGTCCGAATATCGATGATGTAGTTCAAAATTTCAATACCATAAAATATAGAGTGTTAGAATGTAGAAGATTAGGGGGATGGGGTTTGATGAGATAGCACATAGAAGAGCGAGAGAGAGAGAGAGAGAGAGAGAGAGAGAGAGAGAGAGAGAGAGAGAGAGAGAGAGAGAGAGAGAGAGAGAGAGAGAGAGAGAGAGAGAGAGTAGTAGAAGTAGTAGAGTAGAGTAGTAGTAGTACGTACGTAGTAGTAGTAGTATAGTAAGTAGTAAGTAACGTA